CCTTTTGGCACACAAGCGAGCCAGTGGACATGAATAAACCAGCCAGGCGTAGCCCAAGCTTTAGGCTGTGTTGGGAACCCTATAACCCCGGGGATGTATTTCCATCTGTTTAAAATGGGCTACATTTCCATAGGTTGTCCAGGTAAATGAACAGGAAAAAAGTTCCTTTTTGGAAAAGAAGTTTGAAATTGTTTATTGAAATTGTTTACTTGCTTAAACCAGTGATTTTGGTGTAGGAAGGGGTCTGACTCATATACTGATATGATTGACTTAAATAATTTCAGTCAACTTGTTATCAGCTATTAAGTACTGATCATAATGATCACTTCAAATTTAAACTTTAATGATATCTCCACCCCCATCCAGTTTTGACGCATGAAATCGTGACTTTCTTGGTTTGGCTCACACTGCTCTTCCATGTTTTTTTCTCAGGAGCGTTTTGCTTTGGTTTCAGCCCTTGCAACCCATTAAAATGTACTTCAGTGACTGCAGGCTGCCAGCATCAGCTGATACCTTCACCTAGAAAGCTGTGGCTCCTAAAAATGCAATGATAATGCCATATAAACAAGCATTTAGAGGTCCTTGTTCTGGGTATCCCTATTTTTATCTGTGACTCAGAGTGAAGGAGGAGTCTTTATGATAAATACATATTTTATAATACACCTTAGTTTGTGAGTGTGCATGTTGCTGTCTTACACCATGCTAATTTTTTGCGTGCCAGCCAAAATCTTGGTGGCTTCTAGGATGATCATTGATTGCATTGTGTACTGCTACAAAGATAAAACAATAGCCCAGCTGGAAAGTTTTAGTATGAAAAAGTGTAAAAGAGGCAGTAAACATTAACTGTAGTATAACTCCACTTTAGCTGCTTTGATTGCAGTATAATAATTCATGTTATTGAGTAGTCTTAGGAAACTCACATTACACATATATGCACAGTCATCTGTTTTCATGATGTTATTTATCATATTCTTTTGTGGTGGTAGTTCTTGCAGTCAGAGAATAATATACTCTCCTGAAATCATGCTTCACATAAAGTGTTGTCTCTGTCATCCAACACGTGCTTTTTGCAGCAGAATGGACAAGAAAATCTCTGTCACCTCTGTCTGTATCTGTTATAACTCAAGTTATTCATGGCAGAATTGACTTTGTGGTATACAGACCATATAAATACTTTTCATCTCAGGGGACTCATAAATATGTCTCTTTGAAGTTGTTAATGTCATCAAATCTTAATGACTTCACACTGTTCCTTCATTAAGCCTTCAGCACATTTACAGAGGATTTTAAGCATCGCAGGAGATTGTGCTCACACCTGGTTATAGGGGTCTTACTGACATTTAAAGGTCTACTGTGACTAACCATTAGCAAAACCTCTGTTTATCATTAGGCAAGGTAAATGTGAATATAGGATATAAGTAGTGATTATAATTAGCAGTATGGAAGTGTATTGTCTGCACTTAACTTTTCCTGAGCTACATGGTCATTGTGAGGGGGCTGTTAAACAGCTGTATGTTTAATTAGGTGGTATACGTATGGATATATTCAAATACACATTATGTAGTATAGTATTATGATTACATTAAAAGATATATATTATTAAATTAAATCATATATAGTATTACGTAGAGTATATATAAATAGGTACAGACGTAATTTTTTTGTATATGCAGTCATATATATGTAACTTGGGTTACTGGGGGGGTACCTTTGGGAGAATGTGACTTCTAGGCTCACTAAGGAAGCCTCTGGTCCTGTGCTCAGATGAAGATTGCCAGCTGCAGAAATTTGTTTTAACAGAACAATTTCTAGCAGCAATAAATGGATCTTCATTTAGCTTGAGAGGTACTAAATTACGTTTGCCATTTACCTAAGTGCATTAAGAGACCTAGTCAGAACATACCTAAAATGAATGTGCACCTCTTTGGAGATTGATATTAAATATTACGTAGTACTTTGTAAAACACCTGGGGATCAGGGGAGAATGAGTGAGTGTTCTTCACTTATCTGGCTTCCTGGTACCGATGTGGACCTCAGAGATGGGTGGTATCTTTGCAGCTATATGTGAACGCACTGTGGGAGAGAAAATCCACAAAGTGCTTTCATCATTCGCTATGTACATGAAAAATAAGTGTTAGCTGATTGCCACCAGTCACCGATTTAAGGCATAATGCCATATAGTCTATAAATGCATCTGATGGTATGGGGACTCTTTTGTCCAGAGGCTATGCTCTTTCACACTGTGAGGGAATGAAAGAGGAATTTAGTCCAAGATGCTGATTGAACGTGTTCGTTAAGGACTAGCTGGCCAGAATGGAAACCTTTTTTTTTTTTGCTGCTCTCGTGAGACCTCATGTGGAGTATTGTGTACAGTTCTGGTGTCCTCAACATAAAAAGGACAAGGCAGGGGGTTGGAACTAGATGATCTTAAGGTCCTTTCCAACCCTAACTATTCTATGATTCTATGATTTTTCAGGGCTACTTGTTTCCGTAAGATGATGACACTGTTAAAATACCTTGGGAAGCAATGGTAGACAGAAATATTTACAGGAAGTCTGCCCTGTCTTTCAAAATTACATGAAACGATAGACAAAAAAGATGAATTTAAGAATTTGCTATCATCTGAGCTTACTTAGCTATTGTGTCAGCTTAACAGTCACGCCTTTGCTACAAAGACTGCATGATAGAAATATAGGCAAAAGTTTTAATTTTACTCTAAAGGATGTCTGTACTTTGGAAAAAATGCCTTTGATGTTTTTGTAAGATATGTTCATGGTATGTGTTGTGGTAGGGCACTGGGATACTGTTTGATATTTTGGTCCAAAAAAAGGAAAAAAATATTTATGAACTCTTACTTCATTATTTTCATGTTTACTACATGGGTTTATCAGTGTTGTTGCCAATCAAAAAGCGAGTTGCTCTTTTGCCTTGTGTGATAATCATACATTACACTGAATACAAACCATCTTGAAATGGCCAGACTGGCTGAAATCCCCTACATTTTTTTTCACCTAGCTAGAAAGCACTGACTTTACAAGGTCATCTTTTCCTGCTCTCAGTGAATATACTAGGATTTTACTGAGATTTTAAGATTTTAGTGACCTGATACAAACCTTGTTATCATAGAATCATATAATAGTTAGGGTTGGAAAGGATCTTAAGATCATCTAGTTCCAACTCCCCCTGCCATGAGCAGGGACACCTCACACTAAACCATGTCACCCAAGGCCTCGTCCAACCTGGCCTTGAGCACCACCAGGGATGGAGCATTCACAGCCTCCCTGGGCAACCTATTCCAGTGCCTCACCACCCTTACAGTAAAGAACTTCTTCCTTATATCCAGTCTAAACCTCCCATGCTGAAGTTTGAACCCATTACCCCTTGTCCTATCACTACAGTCCCTAATGAAGAGTCCCTCCCCAGCATCTTTAGAGGCCCCCTTCAGATACTGGAAGGCTGCTCTGAGGTCTCCACACAGCCTTCTCTTCTCCAGGCTGAACAGCCCCAACTTTCTTATCGTCAGCCAGTACAGTAGGAAACCATCCTTTTCAGTGAGTCCCCACACACCCCCCCTATTGAATAATATTAATTTCTATTTCTAGGATAGCTCTTATCTAAAAATCAGTTAAAACCCCTATTTAGCAGAAGAGAATTAAAAAAAAAAAAAATAAATACCAAACCAGAAAATTAGAGATCCCATTGTTTCTTCCACTCTGAAGAGAGTCAAAGACTCAGGGTTTGGGGTTTTTTTGTTTGTTTTTTTTTTCAGAAATCTTTCATATAAAAGCTATGGGTCATTCTTTCTCATCAGTTTGATTACAAAAGTCAAAATGCTTCTCAAAAAGGAGTTTCTGTCTTGCAGATGAGAGGAGGGTTTAAATGATGTGATGCATTCACTTAGTTCTGCAGTGCAATTTGAGAAGAAAAGGTTGAATTTGCACTTTGAAGGTTTTTGCATCCTGTAAATGCTGTTAGGGATAGAAACTAATTTCATTAACCAGGGGTTTCTGACTGAAAAGACCAGCAGATAAAAGCAGAGTCATTTATTGGAATTTTATTTGAGAGAATATTTGTAAATATTTTTCTGAAAGTCTTTCTGCTCATTTCTATTTCCTGTAGTGAAATGGGATATGGGGATGAAATTCATTGCAATTCCTCTCTGAAAAAAAAGAATAATTAATACAAGTGAAGAGGCTTTTAGAGTAGTTTTGTTTAATTAAACTGTTCTGTAGGGAGAAACTGTTATAAACTGTTCTTATGCAAACTTTTATAGCTAATGCAAATGTCTAAGCTACATCTGAGACTAAAATCTGGACCACTTGGGGTCCTGGCACATTCAGTACACGTGGTCCTGTTTTCTTTGAGCATCTGTACTTTACGCAATAGTAATCTGTTATGCTTGTTTTTACAACAGGACTTTGCTCCTAAAGTATATGATGTAGTGTATGGTGGGTAACATTGAAGTCTTGGAATTTATCTGAACCATGAAAACTAAAGTTGGAAATAAATTACTCAAAACTTCCAGAACTGGGAGGTGTTCAATTATTAGGATACAGGACTCAGTTGTGTAAAATCTCTCAAGGTCAAGGAGAAATTACCATCTACTTTGGGAGTAGGATGAAACCCTCAGAATCAGCATAATGCACTAAAAATTTCCCCAGATCACTCAATGTCTTAGACAGTGATTTGTCTCAGGTTACAATGAACTGAGCCCCTATTTCTTGCTTGCTTTCAGCCTGCATTGATTTCTTTGCATCTCACAGTTGCTTGTAGGCAGTCTTTCTGGAAAACCAGTGTACTATACCTAAAACTAAGGGTATTTCTGATCATTTCAGTTCATGCTTAGTCCATTGTCCAGCAGATGAATTTTATGTTACTGTTTTGAAGTATGTACCCATTTTCATGCTTTCTCAAGAGTGAAGCCATTTTCCTCTGCAGTTCACAATGGGTTTTCAAATTTTGACATTTTGCTAATTTACCCTTGTCTTGTTTTTTTCCAGCTCTCGTAAATGTGAAACTTTGGGCTATTGATCGGCAATGTTTTCAAACAATAATGATGAGGACAGGCCTCATCAAGCATACTGAGTATATGGAATTTTTAAAAAGGTATGACACTTGTTTACTTTATCAAAAACTACAGTGAAACTGCCATCCTCATCTTTTGACTTTTTTTGTGTGAGTCCAGTGTTTGATTTGTTTCCTTCTCATGTCTTTTTTCATTTGTTTGCTATTTAACTGACTGTATGCTGTATCCTCCAGATGAAAGGAGGGTGAGCACTGGGAAGTCTTGCTGCAGCTTAGTTTCATCCTATTGTGAGTTATTTTCGTTGGCAGAGTCATGCAGCTGAGATGTGAGAGAAAAAGCTTTGATATGAGTCACTCAAAGTGTACCTTATTAAAGGAAATACTCATTAAAGAATAAATAATAATTTAAAAAAGACCCAAAACCACCATTAAGGAATAAGTAATAATTTTTAAAAGACCCAAACCCACCCTCCTTAGGGAAAACCCTGATTCTTAAACTTTTGTAGAAAGAAGCAAGCCCATTCTAAGTGTGTTCTTGTTCTTCTAGAATAATATGCAAGTTTCTAGAGAAGTAAAAACTTCATTTTGCTATAAAACGCAGATTATTTGAGTAACAAGAAAAACATAAAGCCAAGTCTTTCAGTCCTTAAATTTGAGTCTCTCAAACTTTCCTTTGAATCATGTTGCCATCTCAAAGTGGAACAAATCCTCCTTGTGAAAGCTGTGTCTAATATCCTAGTAATTCAAGTGTGCTATAGCAGTGAGGAACGGGCTATGTTTCAGGTCAGCAAAATAATACCAAACAGAATAATGTCACTGAATTCTAGAGAAAAAAATCACTCAAGTCAATGTGATACTCTGAGTAATCACATCATTAGTAAGATGTTGCTACCTCAGGCTTGTCCCAGATCGAAACATTTCCCTCTGCATAATTTCCCTTCTGAACCAGCAATCCCCTGCTGTGCAGAAGCAGTGCAAGGGGTAAAATTATGCCCAAGAGATAATTTCTTTTGATGGTATGTGGGGGATGTGATCAAAATCCTTCAGATTTGGTCTCCTTTTCACCTCTTTCTGGGGGAAGCTGTGCTTGATTTCTTTCTTTTTTTGTTTTGGTTGTGTCTTATTTTCAACATAGGGAAATGTTTTAGCAATTATTGCTCATTTCCAGAAGCTCCTTCTTTTTTTCCACGGAGAGGTTTTCAGGGAAAAGTGCTGTTGTAAGATCTAGATCTTACAGTTTGTAAACTGATGACCTGAGTGATGGTACACTCTCTTAAAAAGGATATTTTGAATGAAAAAGCCATGCAGCCATATCAGATGGCGAGTAACAAGTCTCCCTGATGTGGGCATACCAATTTTTACCATGACATGTTGCATCCTTGATATAGTCTTGTTTCTAACCTGCTTCTTATATGTGTTCTTCAAATGTAAGACTTCTAAAATTGGGAAAACATTCACAGTACAATCGCTTAGACATTCAGTAACATAAACTCAAGGAATAGCCTGCATGCATTCCATACCACAGCTCAGCCAGGTCACTGGGTAAGAAATTGATCAAACCTGGGACACCATTAACTGCTTAGATCCAGGAGTGGAGCCCTGCCCGTTACACTGATTCTTGGCTGGGTTGACACTTTACCTCCTGGCCTCTCTTGTGTGGCCTGAAGTTTCACCTGTGATTCTTTTCAGTCATGAATAAAAATAGTAATAATAAAGTAATGAAACTAAAATAATTGGCCAGGCAACATTTTCTTCCTCAGAGGACAAGATGTTTCCCTGGAGAGGACTAGGAGCTCCATGGAGATGTTCTGCTGCTCAGAGATGACATAGAATAATAGAATCACAGAATCGTTAGGGTTGGAAAGGACCTTCAGATCATCTAGTTCCAGCACCCCTGCCATGGGCAGGGACACCTCACACTAAACCATGTCACCCAAGGCTCTGTCCAGCCTGACCTTGAACACCACCAGGGGTGAAGCGTTCACAACTTCCCTGGGCAACCCATTCCAGTGCCTCGCCACCCTTACAGGAAAGAATTTCCTCCTTATATCTGATCTAAACTTCCCCTGTTTAAGTTTTAACCTGTTACCCCTTGTCCTATCACTACAGTTCCTAATGAAGAGTCCCTCCCCATCATCCTTATAGGCCCCCTTCAGATACTGGAAGGCTGCTCTGAGGTCTCCACACAGCCTTCTCTTCTCCAGGCTGAACATCCCCAACTTTCTCAGCCTATTTCCTACGGGAGGTGCTCCAGTCCCCTGATCATCCTCGTGGCCCTCCTCTGGACTTGTTCCAACAGTTCCCTGTCCTTTTTATGTTGAGGACACCGGAACTGCACACAAAACTCCAGGTGAGGTCTCACAAAAGCAGAGTAGAGGGGCAGGATCACTTCCTTCGACCTGCTGGTCACGCTCCTTTTGTTGCAGCCCATGAAAGTGTAGTCATCAAAGTCTAGTGTTTTCCAGGTGTCTTATTTTATTGTTATTAACATGTAAATTCAAGCGAGAAAACAAAAGTTATTAATATGCTGAAAGAGTTTAAAAAAAACAAAAACAAACAAAACCAAACCAAAGCAGTCATAAACTCAGATGTTAAGTGTTGGCATTTTTTGTGTGCTGGTGAATGAAAACCAAAAGATGTACGTAAGATCAGTTCTGGGGGTTAGAGCCTCTCTTTCAAAGCAGAAATTATGCAATATGAATCTTTGAGGTTTAATAGAGATTTTCAAAATTGTCAAGATTAATTTGGATGCAGGCTCCACAGGGCCTGCTCAGCTTTAATTGTAAAGCAAATAGTGTTAGGAAGAAACCAAGGAACATTTCTCACCCTGTAGCTGAGCTTTGTGGGCACAGCCTATTACAGTTTGTCAAGCCATTATATTAATAATGATAATATTATTATACTTAATATAATAATATTATTATATATTAATATTAAGTATATTATTATGTTATAATTATAATAATACTCATTAGAAAGGCCTAAGACAAGCAGATATTTTTTCTTTAAATCTTACAGTTTAAATTTAGAAAAAGATTTCATCCTACACAGCAGTTGTAAAATGGAGCAGGTATCTGTAGGAAGGTGATGACAAAATGGTATCTGCCCATTGTGTCTTCCAGTTGGGATTTGTTTATCAATAGCTATCTCAAGCTCATCTTGAATTCCTTCTATTACATTAAATGATCTTGTTTAGAGATGTTTTCCTTCTAAATATTGTTAAGGAAAAAATAGGTTAAATCTTGAATACAAGGAGTATGTCAGTTCTTATTCTTTGGAGGTCTTTTCTCTTTCCTATATTAATAAATGAATGAAAATGCTCTTGTTAAGAAAACAAATGGAATAGAAACAAAGTTTTAAATGGTACCTGTGCACAGAATAGTCAATGGGGTTGGAGAGCATGATTTTCTCCTGATATTGCTCTAAAAAAGTTACCCTTTCTAATCATGTCATTAATAACAATAACATAATGCTTCAGTAACATGTTTTCACCTGTGAACAAAATACAATAGAAATTAAAGTTTTGGGACAGTAAAAAAGCTCTTCATATATTCTCTTTTATCTTTCTGAAAATAAGTGCAGTCTGTGCAGTAATATTACTGGGTCTCCTTGCACTCATTGCACAAAATATTACCCCATAACCAGTCTTGTGGTTTTGCCTTGTTTTTCCACAGGAGAATGATATTGGTGACACGGACCAGCTACTGCTTTCTTAGTTTCACCCTTTTATGTTCAAAGTATGTATAGTCTAGTCCTTTGTTCTGAATGCTGTAAGAAAACTATAAAAGTACATTTCCTAGTTAAGAAACCTTCCTAATCATTCCTGGGCTAGAAGTACATAATTTTCACAGTCTTATAAAACTTAAGGTAAATTTTCTGACTTCTATAAATCAACTGCAATATACTAGAGTAAGGAGCAAGTGAACATCCTCTTTTTCATAGTATTTACGAGGAACCGGTTTATGTATTCTTTTCTGCTTCTTCTAAAGTCTACTGATCTTTTGAAGTGATCAAAAGATGGCCTAATTCCCTAGCAGAACCTGCTTCAAGTAAGGAATGGAAAATCCAGACTGGTTTTGATCCCTGTGTATATGCTGAATGACGAATCATAGCAATGATTCTCTTTGAAACACAGATTTTCAGTAGCTCATTATGTGGTTAAATCAATGCTAGATAAGCTAGTTCATACTGAAGCTAGCAGTAAAAAGTTAAAATATAATCTTGTACTGTAGATTTAGTAATTCCTTATGGTATGTATCATTTAATATATTTGCTGTTATACAAGCAAGAAAGAGCATCATTCTGCTGTGGAGGTTACAGGTATGCTAAAATTAACAGTAGATCTCACTGCAATATTCACTTTTACAACATTTAGAATAATTTTCTTTTCAGGCCTGTACTAAAAATAATTCCGTATAAGCAAGATCAGAATATTTCAGTGTCATGGTTTAAACCCAGTCAGGCAACTCGTTCACTCACTCCCCCACCCGTGCAATATGTAAAAGTTCTGACTGGGCTGGGCCAGCCCTGTTGGCAGATCCTCTGGTGTTGACCAACCAGGTGGCCTTTGGTAAGTGTGTATCCCAATGCTTGAAAGTTCCCCCACCGGGAGTAGGGTGGGAGTGAGTGAACAAGTTGCCTGACTGGGTTTAAACCACGACATTCAGTTAAAGAAACAGATATTTGTAAGATAAATTTGTCCAGGAAATAAAATTGGCCTTAAATTGTGGCCAGTGTAATAATTTTCTGCTAGATCATAAAAGTTTAAAGACCAGAATGCCTCGGGAGAGTAAATATTATATTTAAAACAAACAAACAAACAAAAACCAACCAAACAAGAACCAAACAAACACAAAAAGAAAAAAAAACCCAATCTGAAAAAAAAAAAACCTTCCTAATTTTTCCATAAAAAGAGGCCTTATATTCTGGTCCACTGTGTAAACTGTGATTCAGCCAAGACCCTGGAACAGATCAGGAGAATAAATGATGTGCACCTCTGTGTCCCCTCAGAGGCAAGATCTAACTTTGGAATTGGAACTTAAAGGAAATATACACATATACACACAATCTTGAATCTTATG